TAACTCATTTACTTTAACTAGAAATTCAAGACCCAGTAACTACCAATAAAGGCTATACCATCCCCATCACCTTCCAGAGATATAAAACCTGATGGAAGGGCAGGTGACATTGAAGGTTGTTATAGGCTATTAAAAGTCCTAATACCAGTAGGGTGGAGGGAGGGTGGGGTGGAAAGGAGGAACTGATAAGGATCTACATATAACCTCCTCCCTGGGGGATGGACAACAGAAAAGTGGGGGAAGGGAGCCGTCGGACAGTGTAATATAAGACAAAATAATAATGATTTATAAATTATCAAGGGTTCATGAGGGAGGGGCAGCAGGAAGGGAGGGGGAAATGAGCTGATACCAAGGGCTCAAGAAGAACGCAAATGTTTTGAGAATGATGATGGCAACAAATGTAAAAATGCGCTTGACACAATGGATGTGTGTATGGATTGTGATAAGAGCTGTATGAGCCCCCAATAAAATGATTAAATAAAAAAAGTCCTAATACATTTTGCTCAATAGTATCCTTGACCTTTGATCATTAAAAAGAAAAACCAGGGTCCATGTTTTAAAATTTTGATGTGCATATTTGAATTTTTATTTTAATAAAAGGCACTGGCTTTGAGTCCCTTTGTATTTCTAGAAACCCATTTTTATTTTTATATGTCCAAAGAACTTTCTGTGACCAAGCCCAATGGCTGTATCTACACCACTTCCTTCACAGAACCATCTCCTTTAACCTATCACAGCAGCTCCTCGCTGCCTCTTGCAGTGTGGCTGTCCCGGTAAGGAAGCATGGCTCCTGAGCTGAAGGATAAACTGGAAGTTCAAGAAAACAAAGTATTTGAGTTCCCAGGCTGTAAAAGAAGACTAGATGTAGCATTTGATTTGGTTCCTTGAGAGGGTGTGGGGATGCAAATGCATGGGGTTAGCTCTTACTGCTCTCCTTAGGGCAAGACTGTCTCCCTGGAAGATGTGTGACACCAATCAGAGCTTCTCCATAGTGGGCCCTACATAAGCACCAGGGATGTTGTGTGGGAGGCGGCCAGAGTGGTGAAACTTTCAAATGAAGGGGGTAGTTGTGCATTGCAATTGTTCCTCCCAAATGTCAACAGGACCCCTGTGAAAAGCAGACAGCCCATTCTGTCTCCTCTTCACAAGCACCACAATCATCTTTGCTCTCACCCCCGAAGGGCCCAGTTTTCAGTATGAGATCAAAGATACCTAAACCACAGTTTTCCTGCTCAGTAAACGTGGTTCTTAAGCTGCAGGAGCCGTGAATTACTTAATATGACTCTTCTAGTCAAAGTCCCTAACTCCTACCAAATGACCTTCACCTGCATGGTTCTGGCTAAGAAAGTTACTCACCTGTGAGTAACTGTGAACAAGATTCATTGGCATGGCACCCCGCTGAGTATAAAATGAGCCCTCTGAGAAGGGGGGGTTCCTACCACAACAGTCAGGAGGAGAGGGCATCCTATGCACCCCGAGATCTCTGCACAGTAAGCCTCCTGGATCCAGATGACAAATGTGACATCAGAGGAGCAGCAATTGAGCTAGGAGCCAGAGCATGAAATTGGTGGGCCAAGCAAAGCTAAGTGCTTTGGGGCAGAAGGCTGGCTTGTGGAGTAGGGTGCCTCTGGGCATTTAATGGGGGGTGAGGGGGGCGGCGGTGCTGGGCTTGCTGAATCTGGAAGTGGAGCTGAGTAATTTCACAGGAGAGGTTTACTGAGTAGGGTGCCTCTTGGGCACTTAACCCCTTGGGTTCCCTAACCCCTGGAGCTCGAGATGAAAGCCTTCAATACGCAGAGCAACATGCCCTTTGGGCATGTGTTAGAAACCCTGAAAAACTTTGTAACCTGTCCTGATCAACAACTGGATTCTCAGCAATTCCCACTTTCATTGTACACTCACTGTAAGTTCCTTAATAAACCCTGAATACGAATATTGCGAATTCTGTGTGACCATTGCAACCTAGACACATATTAGAACCTAAGTGTAAAAGTAGAGAATGCTGTTCTAGTGACAGAACACATCGCCAACCCCTACTATCTGGTAGCTTAGGTGAAACGCTGAGTTAGAATTGACAGAGTGAAGTGAAATGCTACCGTTTTGTAAAGATTGGCTCTCGTCCACATGGCTGGACTAAACCCCAAGACTCTAAATCCTAAAAAGATTGTTTTTCCTCTCCCTGTGTACTCAAAATAACAAGGTACCACATCATACTGTAAGTAGAAGTCACAAAAGTTCTGATTTTTCACCTGATGACTATACCAAGGCTTTAAAATAAACACATGGGATGCATGTAAGTACGTATGTTATTTCTTTCAGGGCACCCTCCTTTACAAGTGCTCCGTGTCTGTGCGTTGTCTCCTATGGGTGTTGTATTGGGCGAACGTGAAAAAGAAAACTCTCCAATTTTGAGTTTACTTATGATTGGTCAAAGGTTGAAATGATGGCGGGGGAGCAAGCTGCTGGATTCCATGTTCTGGATCCACCACTTCCTAGCAATATGACTTTGGGTAAGGCACTTAGCATCGCAGTTTGCTGTGAAATAAAAGGAATAATGAAATAGACCGAAAGGCTTATAAACCTTCACTAAGAACATTCAAGTCTGGTACATAATCGCTAGGTAGTGTGGACACTAAATGTACTCATCTGCTAATTGAAAAGCCAGGCTTGAGTTTATGCAGAGGTGTCTCAGAAGAAAGGCCTGGTGGTTGACTTCCCCAAAAACTATTCCACGGAAATTTTGTGGCTACATCGTAGGAAACTAAGAGCCGCGACACAAATATATAACTGCATGCCCATGTTCATTGCAACAATACACACAATTAAAAAAAAGATGGAACAACCTAAAGCTCCATCAAGAAATAAATGGATAAACGATGATACTCACAACGAAATACTGTGTAACATTAAGGAATAATGGGGATGGAGGGAGGGGGGAAAAGAGGAGCTGATACCTAGACCGCAATAGAAACTGTCTAGATAAGAATGATGGCAACATATGTACAAATATACCTGAAACAACTGATGTATGGATTGTAATAAGAGTTGTAAGAGCCCCCAAGAAAATTATCTTTTAATTAAAAATTTAAAAAGGAATAATGATGAATTGTGAAACATTCCACAACATGGATGAACCTGGAGGCCATTATGCTGAGTGAAATAAGCCAATGCCTGAAGGAGAAATGCTGTATGACCATTCATATAAAATGTCAACAAGAGATTTACATTATCGACACACCCCTCAATAGTTGTCAGGGAGGAGAGGAAACTTGATAAAAACTATCAACTAGAGAGTGACATATATTGTGTGGCGGGAAAAGCAACACACAACACAGGCGGTGAAAACACATGGTGGAGACAAAGGAAGATACTTGGAGGCATGCAAGAGCAAAAGGGAACCGTGGGGAATACGATGACATAAGCAACCCTTCAGGAGCAGTAACAAACAATAGCTGACAAGTAGACACAGAGGAAACAGCTAAGCCGAATGGCATTTGGGAGTAAGTACATCCATGTGTATACACCCATGTGCCTACACAGGTTTGGCAGAGGGTATTTCTACATACATATTTCTATGTGCTGCAGATGTATTCAGGTGTCCAATAGAGCATACACGGGGGCAAAGTTATGAAAAAGCTTTTAGCAATAACCCAACACCTTGAGGGACTGAGTCACTAGACTTGAGGGCAAAGGATCCTTGTCTTGAAGACCATCTCTCCATCAAGGTCAGTTGGCACGACTGGGGTCTTAAACGCTGTGAGTGGCTGTCTACAATACAAAGATTGGTCTCTTCCTGGCAAGTGAAAAACACCAAAGGCTCAAAGAAACAATGAGTCCAAAAAACTAAGGCCGAATGAACATCCCCCTCCACCAGCCCACAGCCAGAAGCAGATGTTCTGGCTACCACTACTGACCTCTGATTGAATCACAATAGAAAGTCCTGGGCAGAGCAGAAAAATCATTAAAAAAGACTATACTTACTGGATTCACAGAGAATCATGGGAACTCCTGAAACTATGGCCCTTAGACACCCTTCCAACCTGCTCTGGTGCTCAGCCTTCTGCCAGATGTCAGGCTATCAAATGAATACCATCACCCCTCAAGAACACGCTCTTCAGGAAAGCCAACCATTTCGGACTGAATTTTCCAAACAAAGTTCAGAATGCAGGAAAGATGGGCAAAGTGAATCAAGGAACCCACAGAGGAAGGGGGAAAAGTACTGTGACATTATGGGAATTACAACTAATGCCACTAAACAAAATGTGTATAAATTATTGAATGGGAAATGAACTTACTCTGTAAATTTTTACCCAATCATGTTAAAAATAAAAACACAACAAAATCTCATGGAGCACAGTTCTGACATTACTCATTAAGAGCATTTTAGCCCATAGTATTACTGTATCTTCTTTCACTCCTAGATATTTATTCTAAGCCAACCGTGAGCTCGATCCTGAGGCAATAGACAACATAGTACAGACCTCATATACTCCAACTAAGCCAAGCTCACTGCCAGTCAATGGTGAGTCATAGCACCATTACAGGACAGGGTAGAATTGCCCTTGTGTTTCTGAGACTGTTAATTTTTACGGAATAAAATGCTTCATCTTTCTCCTGAGTGGCTTGGTAGTTTCAAACTCCTGACCTTGCAGTTAGCAGCCCAATGCATAACCACACCACCCGGTCTCCTTGCCTCATATAGTGGGGGTGGGAGGGGGTGTTAAAAAAACATGTGGAGAAACAGAAGATAATGGGACTTTTCCATGAACTTTTAAAGGCCCCTCATATTTGTGCATAAGCAAATGGTATGAAGTACTTATTGTTGGCCATTGGAATGAGTTAATCAATCTTTCAGTTTCTCCTGAAATTTTTTTTTCTTCTTTCCATACCATTATATTAAGCTGGAATTTCCCTTTCCATACCTGAGTCCAACTCTTTTCTATAAGCCTAGACGTCAGCCTAGACGATCAAGGGGAAGGCCATCTCCACAAACAATGAAGTAGATATTAAAATTAGTTTATTTTTCTACTTTTAATAAATGAGAAGAAACACAGTAGTCTGTCTCATATAGAACATTTATAATACATTAACAATCCATAAAGCCTCATGGCGAGGTAGGAACAGCTTTGGAAAATAACACAGTCATAAAACATACAAAAAGTTAGGTATAATGTTGCAGCACTAAAGACATTTTATCTGCATCTGCATTTAATGAGATGATAACTTTGCCACGTTTGGCCCCAAGAACAGGCAACAGCAGACACAAAAACACAATAGGAAAGCTTCATAAAGAATCACAGCATACACTGATACACTTCATTGTGCTGTTTCAAGGCAGAACCATAATGTGGCAATTTGTGTCTTAATATATAACCACAGATTAGTTGTATGTTACATTCCCTTCAGTATCTTTTTGCCAAAGACACCAGACGACAAAATTTTTGGTTTAAAAGTTGAAATTGACACACAAAAAGGCTTTTGTGTCAGTGAGAATGACAGCTAATATTTCAGAGCTTGTTAGAAAACAAAAGAGCATTGCCACGGCGTCAAATCGGTAGAGCCACATCAAAATGGTACTATTACAAGTTCCATTGCAGAGACGGTCATCGCTGTTATGTGACAGTTTCCATCCAAAAACAAACAGGAAAGGAAAAAAACAAACCCTCCACCTTTCTAAGAGTTTTAACACTGTTTTATGACTTAACTGAAAATATTAAAATAAATATTTTTATATTGTAGAATTGCTCTCCATATTTGTTTGTGTGAATATCTTAAGACAGCAGGTAAATGACATATCATTCAGATGACATCCATTCATAAACAGTAAAAATCTTCAACTCAATACCAGGTAACATACTAAATACTTCACATTAGATTTCATAGGCTAATTTCCCTCAAAACTTTCAAAAATGCAAAATTCATGGAGGATGTTAGCAACATATAAGCTCGCTCCCAGAGCCTTTTTTCTCCATACCGACAGTGGTTTGCTAAGGTGCACTGGGTAGACATTTTTTCCTGCTCAAATGACATACCTTAGGTATTCAACATATTGCTTTCGAATGCATTAAAATACCTACAGCAAAGTGTCTGAGTTTGGGTTCTTGTTTTGTTTTAGATTCTAGTCCACACCTTTCTTATCATGCAGACACCCTCAAAAATATTAATCATATACGCTAACAGGTGGCAATGGAGCATTCAAGCTCTCAACACTAAGGCTGCATTTGGCTGGGAAAAATAACTGAGTTGGTTTTAATTTCAGGCACGCACAGCACCTTCTTCTCACTAAACTGAGACAAAGGACAAGTTTCTAAACATGTATTCTAGATACACTGATCTTGCTCCAATATAAAAGAGCCAGCAGAGTTGCATGTCCTGTAACTGATGCAGTGTAATATAGAACAGCCTATTTAAATCTTGGGTTAAGTCTCTTAGTAATCCAGAGTATTTCCCTCATTTTATTTCAGAAAGGAATAAGCTATTTTGAAAAGACACTGATCTTCCACAATAAATATAAAAGCATGTTTTTAAAGTAATGCTAGGATAAGCTAAAAATGGGTTAGAAAAGTGCATCATAAAGAAATAAGTCTGTTAAAACTCAAAAGGTGAGTCGGTGCCCACTGATTTTAATTATGACAAAGTCCTTTGAAAAAAAGGAGCATCCACTGTTACATGAACTAATTTAAAATGTTCTGCAGTTTAATGTGTTAAACCAGGAATGCACATGCACAGTACAATTCGCAGATTTCTCTCTTGTTCACCCACATGAGATCCCATGTATCATGTTAAAAACAAAGAAAAAAAACAAACCTCAAAACACTTTTGCAAAATTCAAGCTAACTACCAGTTTAGGAATTGAATTACCCAGTATCAAGTGAGAGTATTAAAAGATTAAAATGTATTGCAAATTGGCAGGTTATGGTTTGGGCCCTTTACAGTAAATGTGAACTTACAAACCATGTTCCAAAATTACCTTTATTCTCATTGGAGAAATTGGCTATTCTTAAATAGGCCCATTGCCAGCAATAGGCTTATACCAGAAAACAAAGAAACCACCATCTACCACAAATATCATCCTTTAAAAAGTTAACTGTCAAATTCCAAACTTCATCTTAAGACCCATTAAACAATTATTTCAGATCCCCAAGATAGCCATTCCAAAAGTAGTCAGCTATAAAAGTTACCTAAGTAGTCAGGACACCTTGTTTCTAGAAAAATAGAGCTATACATGATAACTGATCATCATTTTCATCCTTTAGAGGACAAAACTAGTTTCTTCCCAGAGCTTAACACCCTCTTTACCAAGAAAAATATAACTTAAATACCCTAAAATATTTTTTTCCTGTGATGGCTTGGAAATCTATATAGCAAAATGAAACAGCCAAAAACAGTTTCCTGTGTATCAGAACCATGTCAGACAGGAGTCTAGCCAAAATAATTTGCTGTCTTAACTTCATATTCCAACTGCATTTAAGCTTCAGATTTTCTTCCCCCCTCCCAAGTCGGTGGCTCTTAGCAACCACAAGCATTGCTAGTTTTGCTTGGAAAACTTCATTTAAATCCATTCATGATTGGTCACCATGAAATGATCTGAGCTCTAAAATAGCATTTGCCCGCCATTTAGAAGATGATATTAATAGCTCACCGTTAACGTTATCAAACCTAATCTCCCGAGAGCTATTCGTTGTTTAGTTAGCGAGGAAATAAATGCCCGCCTCACTGTTTCTGATACCAGTCTCTCAAAGACAGGAATGCTGGTGAACACGCCCATGGGTTAGATTCACTTTGGTAAAAGAAAACAGAGGAGTTGAAATTCTCAAAAACAATTTAGAATTATTTTCTGAGTGCTTACCATAATCTAAATAATGTTTAGTTTGGTGAACTTTCTTACCTGCTTTTAGTCCCCATATATCCTAGTATATGCGCATCCCAGAGTCCACAATTTATTAACCCTAGCACTGTCTCTTCAACGAACACTCAGAAATACAGACCATAGGTTAGTAATTGATCTTAAGTACTACTAATACTCCGGGTAAATTACAAAAAGGAACTTCTCTTACTAATGTTCTTGAGTCACTCTTAAATATGCCACTACACATCATAATGAGGATCTCAAAAGGTAAGTATATATTATCTAAAATATTAAAGGATACAAACTTGATGATTTAAAGTTCTAGTGATTGCAATGCTAATACACAAAAGTAAAACCCTGGGGGTGGGGGAGAGAAAAGCAGAGCTTCCAGTAACAATTTATTCATCCCCCTAATTAATTTTTATTTGGGAAAACGGAAATCAAATGCCATTATGTTATAGAAGGTTTATACTTACTTTCAACAAAAATGTAACATAGTGTTAAAACTGACTTTGCAAAAATGGCTACAGCATAGCTGTACTCTGTACTAATAATCACCAAGCTGTTCGTAGAACTCTGTTAGGCAGTCCCATAATGTTCTTACAAAAATAGATTTAAACTGTGTGACCAGAACAAGAATTTCAATTACACAACTTGGCAAACTTAGAAATTCTGTGGAGATTTTCGTTTTTTATCTCTTGCAGCTTAAAAGCAACAGTCAACTATCACACCTCTTCAAGACTTACAAAGTTGATTCAGGTTGGTTATCTGGAATTTTTTTAATCTCTATCACAACGGCAGGGATGCTGTCAACTTTAGTCCTCCTGGGCTTCTTCTCGAGATTGTCACTAAGTTCTAAACAAGAAATGCTAACGGCCGGGGCCTTTTCTGCATCCTTTCCAGAAAGGGCCTGTGGCCGAGTCCCACAGCACTGCTTCAAAGCACACTGAGTTCTGCAAGCCAGCTCACAGGGGACAACCCCGGATTTAGAGCCTACAGTAGCAAATTCAGGCTGAATGGTGGTGGCATGGATCCCGTGGTTATGAAAAACATCCTTGATGATTTTAGCCACCTGCATGTATGATGTTGGATCTTCACACTTGATGTGAGCTGTGGCAATGATCCTGCTGCCAGCAAGTTGCCACACATGCAATTCATGAACTTCCTCAACACCGCTGACACTTCGAAGTTCTTTTATCAAATGCTTGATATCGATTTGTTTAGGAACAGTTTGCAGGAGAATAAGAGCAGATTCCTTAAGTAATGGAAAAGTTGTGTAAAGAAGTATACAAACCATTACAATACAAAGAGTTGGGTCTAAATACAGTACCCAACAAGGACCAGCCTCAAAAAGGGGAGCATGAGTACTATTTACCACTTCTATGAATGCTTTGCAGGGGTCAGGGGCACATGGGTTCACACAGAACTCCCCTTCAGGACACCCTTTCCAAGAAAAATAAAAGACCAAGGCATTTACTACTACAATCACGGAACCTAAGGCATCTCCAAAGACATGCAGAAAAACTCCACGCATGTTAAGTTGCCCAGCATTGTCCTCATCTTCTTCCAATTCCATATGGTCAGCTTCTTTGATAAGATTTCCATTCACTTGTACCTCCATAGCATCATTGTTGGACTTTTCTGTATCTACAAAGAAAGAGAGATTCAGTATCAAAATAGATTTAGAGTCTTTACATACATTTTCATCTTCATCTGATTTTACTTGCCTGGCAAAGGAAGTGAACAATGCCTACCTCTTTTTGAAATAAATGAAAATTTTCATTAAAACAAAAATTTGTTATTTGCACAAGGCCATGTAATACCAATGGATACACTGGGAATATGCCAGAGCACAATAGCCAGGGCTTAAGAACTTAAGACAGGAACATGATCCTGCTTCCCTAAACACCAGCCTCCCAAACAGTGCATCTTTTTTATGGGTGTGGAGTCCCGGGGGCATTCTGCTAAGCTTTTTGATATACCAAACTGACTCCCATCCAGCCCATTCTAAAGTGCCCCTCTAAGAATTTCCAAGGCTGTAAATCTTGACAGGCGCAGATAGCCTCAACTTCATTCCATGCACGGTGGGTATGAGCCACCAACCTTTCAGGTTAGGCAGCCCAATGATTACCTGATAGCCCCACCAAAGAAAAGAGAAAATGGAACGCTGTCAAAGTTAACTGCAACTATGGTGAGTCTAGGAACACAAAGGGCCTGATTTGACAGGAGGTTCTGGCCTGGTGGTCACTCTTGAAAATAAAATCCGGTTTTACTTTTAAACTTTTGATCATAACTATAAAAGACAAGTGTCTTTGTGGGAGAGGGCCTTTAGAAACACTTGAACAGCTACAGAAAGCCTTATTAAAACTACCTGGGGAAAGGCTGGGCCTAGCTGATTACTACCTTCCTTTCTAGCTCTTTATCTAAGCTGAATATGTACACCAGGGCAACTTCAGATTTTGGAACATGCCCCTGCAGCAGGGGGCGTGAGGACATTCCTTAACATGGTATCCTGATCTTGGGGTGGAAAAAGGGAAAAGTGCCTGTGGCATATGATCCACTCAGGTAAACACATATAAATGGAGAACATGGAGGGATTACACCAATTTATTAACAGGTACTGAGCTTGAGTGGTAGGGCACTGGCTGACTTCATTTTCCATGTGTTCTCTCATCATATCCATATTTTCCAAATTTCTTTCAACACCACTTATTTTTAGAAAGAAAAGCATCTATTAAAAATATAAGGCGAATAAATTATCACCACTCAGCCTAATTGGGATATGGGCTAAATGAAGTAATTAGACAGGTGCCGAGCCTAGAGCCTACTAATTTGAGGAGGGAACCCAAACCCACCGACGACTAGCGGATTTTGACTCACAGCAACCCTGTGGGCGCAGAGTTGAACTGTCCCATAGCTGCTCTTTAGGGAAGCAGTGGGCTCCAGCTTTCTCCCACTGAGCGATGTGGGTTCGAACGCCCGCTGGGTTGCAGCCAAGCGCCACCAGGGCTCCCTTTTTAGGAGTCGGTGCCGCTGACACGAAGCCCACACGGTTGCTCCTGAAAGCAACCCGCCAAGGTTTTGCGCTCGGGGAAAGCCATTTGCTGGGACTGCTCTGAACAGGGCGTGTTGCCGCAGGCAGGTGGGAGGTTTCGAACCCCCAACGCCTAAATCCGTCCTGGGGGTGGAGGGCCGGGAAGTTTCTCTGGGAAGCAAGTCGAATCCCCTGGAAATCAACGTGGCCGTGTCGTCAAACGGCCTGCCAGGCAAGGCAGCAGGTCCACCTGCGGAGCCC